GGATTGGAAGAGGTCTAACTTCACGAGAGCCATAAAATTAGACTAGACCTACTGCAAAATCTGTTTATTTCATACAGCTTCCTTGCCATGATTACGTAGACCATTTTCTACTGTTACATCATGTAAACAAGTTGGTAGCTCACTCGTCTGATTTACCGCATTAGCTACAGACTCAAGAACTTGAAAAGTGATTACTTCAGCTTTTTTTGACCCTACTATAGATGTTGCATACGAGAGGATTATACCTGGAACTTTGCTGCAACTACCATTAATCATAGCTTTAGATATTTCTAAATGCATTTCAAAAAGGTCTATTGACTCATATGCCCGTATACCATACTTCTCTCTTATACATTCTTCAAACTTGTCTGTAATATTTAGTGCATTGCTTTGTACATCGTTTTGTGTTTCTTCAAAAGTTACATCCCGAAACTTAGGACAATTTCTATCAGAAAAGTTTTGTGCCAAGAGCAGCAGTACACTGGCATTACCCTGCACACACGCTTCTGTGCTAGATGGATTGATAGTTTTTTGGTTGCCTCTTCCATGCCCTATTACTGCACTTATTACTGGTTTTGCACTAATCAAACCATATACTCCTTGAACCATACTTCTGATAAATTGAGGCATCCATAATGTTGCTCTGCCTGCTCCACTTGTTGCCTTACTGTTTGTTCCAGTTATATTAATAATATTAGCCATTTCCATCTTCTGGAGCTCTAAAATCTTCTCCATGTCTTTTTGAACATCGCGGCGAGAACGATTTTTTCCTTCTGATTCAAATAAATCTGAGTTACCAAAAGAAGTAACCAATTGTAAAGGAGTAATGCCATCATTGTCTGGAAGATTAAAATCAGCCCCTTGATCGACAAGGTATTTAGCAAGATCTGGATGATTATTTTGAACAGCAAGGTACAAAGGAGTCTTGCCAAAACCATCTTTAAGAGTAAAATCAGCTCCTTGATCGACAAGGTATTTTACTACATCCAACTTACCACCTTCAGCAGCCCGATGTAAAGGAGTTTTGCCATGACTATCTTTAAGAGTAAAATCAGCACCCTTTTCATCAACAAGGTATTTAGCTGCACCCAATTTACCAAAATAAGCTGCAAAATGTAAAGGTGTCCAGCCATAACTGTCTTTAAGATTAAAATCAGCCCCTTTAGTGTCGATCAGATATTCCATAACATTTAAGTTGCCACTGTTAGCAGCCTTATGTAAAGAAGTCCTACCATGATAGTTTTTTAGATTAAAGTCAGCACCCTTTTCATCAACTAGGTATTTCACTAAATCTAAGTTACCAGAAGAAGCTGCAAAATGTAAAGGTGTATTGCCATAACTATCTTTAAGATTAAAATCAACACCCTTTTCATCAATAAGGTATTTAGCTACATCCAATTTACCAGAAGAAGCTGCAAAATGTAAAGGTGTATTACCATAACTATTTTTAAGAGTAAAATCAGCACCCTTTTCATCAACTAGGTATTTGACAACATCTAAATTACCCTTTTGAACAGCTAAGAGTAAGGGAGTCCAACCCTGATCGGTTTTGGCATTAAAATCAGCACCTCTAGTATTAATAAGGAATTTGACAATATCCAATTGACCAAAATAAGCAGCAGAATGTAAAGGAGTCCAGCCACCATTGGCTTTCATAGCTCCTTCTGTGATAGGTTCTGTAGTATTATCATTTGTTGTCATATTTGCTATAGTATTCAATAATTCCTTATTTGTTATAACATTTGTTATAGCATTAAATACTCCTTCATTTTCCATAGCACCTGCTGCCATAACATCTGTTATGATACTCAATAATCCACCATCTAGATCAAAACGTTTTGCACGCTTCAAGCTAGGTTGAGGTTGAGCTTTAGCTACTTGCTGTTCTTCTCCTAGTGTTGTAACTGCTTGTAAGTCTTTTTCTTCTTGTGAGAAACTCGTTGTATGTTTTGTTGTTAGCATAAAAGCCTCCTGCCATTAAATTAAATAAAATTAATCATACCAAATTCAGCTATGTATATAATAGCCTAAAAAACTAACGGCGCAAGGAATTTTGTGACATAAATTTTTAGTAATTTCTGATGTTAGTAATTTTTTAACTAACCCCAAATCAATAGATTTTGCATAGGTCTAATTTAACTTTTTTTAATAAAAGTATTATAATTTTAACATATACGTATTAGCTTAAGGAGAGGTTATGTATTACGGAGCGTGGAAAAAAATATTAGATGAAATAAGTTCTGAAAATCAAGGTAATATACTGGACGCAATAAAAGAAAAATTAAGGATAAAATATCCTGATGTATATAAAGAATGGGAGAATGGGGAATCTGAGAAAAAGAGATTTAATATTGACTATTCGTTTCAAACTCTGAAATGCACATTATTGCATATTTCTGCTTATTATGACAAATGGAATGCAATAAAGTTTCTATTAGAAAAAGGGGCAAATGTTAATGCTATAAATGAAGATGATGAAACTCCTCTACATCTGGCTGCTGAAAATAATTGTACACGTGCAGTTAAGATTTTATTAAGAAATGAAGATATAAATGTTAATATTAGAGATAAAAGTGGAAAAACTCCTTTACATTGGGCTGCTTTGCTTGGCTATACAGACATAGTAAGAGCTATATTAACAAAAAAAGATGTAAAAGTTAATGTTGCGGATAAAGGTGGAAAAACTTCCTTACATTGGGCTGTTGAAAACGATCATATAGATATAGTAAAGGTTCTTTTAGGCAACGGGGCAAAGGTTGATATTGTCGATCGATGTGGAAAAACCCCTTTACATTGGGCTGCTTTATTTGGCAGTGTAGATGGAGTAAGGGCTCTATTACAAAAAGATGCAAATCCTTTAGTACAGGATGGAGATGGTAAAATTCCAAGAGGATTAACTCGGGATAATGAAATAAAGCAGCTTTTAGAAAGGGCAGAAAATAGACAAATCCTGAAGCTTGCAACAGGTGTTATAACTGGTTGTATAACTGCGGTATTGGGGGCTATAATAACAATACAGCTTGTTAAAAATGAAACAGTTGATGCTGAAGAAATGCCTATAAAGCCAACAGTTGTCATAATTTCATTAGTTGCACTAGCGATTGGTGGCCTGATGTATAAAATATATGAACCTAATACTAAAATAGATGAAGTAAGAACTGTGGAAAGGGATAGAACAGGAATTTCTACAGTATAGGAGCCAAGTTAAAGATTCATCTTGAAGTTTTTTAATTTCATCAAACCATGAATTCAGAAAATGTTCACGTTATTAGCAAGCATTGCCTTTGCCACTGCAAATTTTTCTGATTTTTCTCGCCAATTTGAATGCCTTCCTTTATCTTTAATAAAGCTTCTCACAAACTTACTTTGTCTGTTACTGCAGCACACAATCGGCCTTAGGTACATTATATATATCACTTGAAGCTCCTGATTGGATAATTTTACCATTTCTCATCACGTAAATAAAATCTGCCACTTCCAATGGTTCTTGTGGATCATGAGTCACCATTAATACGGGAATATTTTTCTTTTTAAAAAGTGACAGTATATATTGTCTTATTTGACGTTTCAGCAGTATATCTAGATTAGAGAATGGTTCATCAAGCAATACAATATCGGGATTTTGCGCTATTACTCTTGCTATTGCAACTAACTGTTGTTGCCCTCCAGATAAAACATGAGGATATGCATTTTCATATTTTTCTATATTTAACAGCTTTAAAATTTCTAAAGCAATATTATATTTTTCTTTTTTGGAAAGATTTTTAATAGCAAAAATTATGTTCTCTATTACTGTTTTATGGGGAAATAATGCAGAATGTTGAAAAATTAACCCGATATTTCTCTCCTCTATAGCAACAGATGCTTTATTACTTGCAACTAATCTATCATTAATTACGATAGATCCAGATCCAGGATTTTCTATTCCCGCAATTAACTTCAGAATAGTTGACTTCCCACAACCAGAATGCCCAAGCAAACACACAACAGCTCCCTTTTTAACCTGAATGTTTATGTTACTTAAAGCAAACTCATTACAATTGTTGTAAGAATAACAAATATTGTTAACTAGCATTAATCCTTTAATTTAAACTGTGTTACTAAATATCATAACACTATACTTAGAAAATTTAGAAATGTTTTTTTATGTAATGACACAGCAATTTACTCAATTTTTGCTTTGCAGTATGTATCTTTTTGTCAGATTAATTCTAAACTATTACGTCTTCCATCGATTTGTATTTCATGTATTCTAGTATCAGCACTGCGTTCAAATGATTTATATGCAAGAACACCAAGTGTTAATACAGCAAATGTTAACGTTACAAATACTGCCCCAAAAGCAACATCCCCTTTTGCAATACTCCGCACTGCCATCAAAGCAGTTGCTACAGTTACACTAATTGCCATTAGTTTAAAAAGTTGTCTTTTTTCTGCTTTTTCCAAAAGATGTCTTATACCATTTTCACAAGTCAAATTTCTTGGAATTTTACCATTTCCATCCTGCAATAAAGGATCCGCATATTTTTCTAATAGAGCCTGTACTGCATCTATATGACCATTGTGAGCAGCTCCATGCAAAGGAGTTGCTCTATATTTATTATCTATAGCATCAACTCTTGCACCTTTTTCTAACAGAATCTTTACTATATCTGCATGGCCACTTTCAGCAGCCCAATGTAAAGGAGTTGCTCCATCTTGATCTTCAGCATTAATATTTATACCTTTTTTTTCTAATAGAATCCTCACTGCATTTGTTTTGCCACTGCTAGCAGCCCAATGTAAAGGAGTTGCTCCATCTTTATCTTTAGCATTAATATTTGCATTTCTTGCTGCTGATAGAACCTCTATTAAATCTGTATGCTCATTTCCAACAGCCCAATGTAAAGAAAGTGCTTTATATTCATCTTCAGCGTTAAGATCTATTTCTTCTAATAGAATATTTAATATGTCTCCTGAGCCACAGTAAGCAGAAATGTGCAATAATGTGCATTTATTGTGAATATCTCCATTTTGAAATGGAAATGGGTAATTGACACTAAATCCGCTTTTCTTCCACCCTTCATATATATCTTGATATTCTGCACTCAATTTTTCTTTTATTCTATCAATTATACTTTGATAGCTTAAATTTTGAGCGGCACTTATGTCATCTAATATTTCTTTCCATTTTTCATACAGCATAATTCCCCCTAAAATTAATATTATATATTAAAACAATAATGTTTTTATTAAATAAAATAGCACCATTTCTATCTAGGTCCTGTATATTTGAGCTATAGACTGGAAATTCAATAGATTTTTATAAAGTTTAATTTCTTATAGAGATTAATTTTAATAAAAAAAATAGTTGTAAAATTTTTATTTATAGTATATAATATGTTCATATTATGCATAACCCCTCCACTTTAATGGCTTTTAGTATTAAAGTGGAGGCTTTTTGTATCTGACCACTAAAGTGTGAAGGTTTTTGCTTCTGTATTTTCCAATGAATCACCGTAAGTTACTGCCTTAAGGAAAAATTTCTTTCCTGGCGTTACTGCAAAAGATACAATTGAGTCATCAAGCAAGATGAACTTTTCTCCCGCAACATGAGCATATTCTTCAGTACCTTGCTGACCTCTTACAAAACCATTTAATTTATATTTATTTTTGCCTATCAATTCAATGCTCTTAATTTGTATCACTTCTCTTCCTATCAACGCCATTGCCGCATTGGGTAACTTACCAGAGTATAATACCACTACAAGTGCTTCTTTGGTAATTTCAACTACATGCCCACAAGTAGGTTCCTTATTTACACTTGCAATAGGCCTATAGTTTTCACCATCATCAG